TTCATTACTGGATGAATCAGCGTTTTTGTACAAATCTCTTGAATAAATGATCTTGAATGAGGAGCTTTGAAAATCTGATCATGTGATTAAGAGTTAATAGTGCAACTATAGTATAAACCTTTCCAGTTTTTTGTTTTCCTGGGTACTCACTACTCACACTGCTATATAAAAATTCCCCAAGCCAATCTAACTCCTCAACTATAGTATAAACTGCCACAATCACCTCGGTCTAAACTGAAACTCTTCCCAGCAAACAAGCCCAGACTGGTTAAGCCCTCGGAGAAACCTCATATTTCAGGACAGAGGGCTGTTTGCATAGGCTATAGAGGAAGATCATCAGCCCTTCAGTGTTATTTCTGTAATTTGAGGATCGACTGATGGCTTGACTTTCAATTTAATGCTCTTAATTGGCCTGAAAAAACAACTAACCGATGACCTTCACCTCACAAATGCTGACTAAAGCAGTTAGGAAAGGCATTTTTGTGTCTAGTTTGGTGTGCAGATTTATGCTAAATCACACTTGAGCACATGACCAGACAGTTCACCCCACTTACTCGCTGCTAAATGGAGGAGAGAAAAAGCAGTTATCCATGACAAAGAGCCTTAATTGATTGGAGCTGTAATGAAAGACTGGAAAGACTCGATCTGATTTGGCAGATGCATCTGGAAACAGGACGAAAACGTACATTTTGCCAAAAAACGATCTTCAAAAGTTGGCAACATCTGCCTTGGTTATGTGAAAAGTGTCTAAATTACTCTCACATGATCTTAATTCTTGAATGACTAAATTTTATTTATTTATTTTAAACATTACATATTTTATTAATTTTTATTTATATTTATTATTATTTTTAAGAGTACAGTAAAATTTTAAATGTGAAGAGAAACAAATCTGTTCATAAAATCAGCTTGAATTGAGTGGTGCAATAATTTAAGACTGAAAAGTCAGGATTTTATTTGGCAGATTGAACTGAAAAAGGGACGAAACTTACTTTTCTCCAAATGACCTTCTCCAAAATTCTGCAGCGTCGGCCTTGGTGATGCGAAATGTGTCTCCTTGGAACTGTCCACCAGGAAAAATAGCTTTTATTTCGGCCAACATGTGACTGAAAATCAGGGAAAGTTTGGTGAGGTTTCGTCTGCAAGAGAACAAACAAAAACAAAAGCATAGGGTCAGTACATGAAACAGACAAGAAATCAGCAGTCAGTGCACACACACACACACATACAAAGAAAGAGAAAAGTGAACTCTCAGCATTCTCCACTGAGTGTTTTTTTTTTTTTTGTCCTTGAGCTTGTCTGAAAGTTAATGTGCCGCACGAGTCTCTTTGAACAGCATGAGGATACAGTGCAATCTGATGCACGCCGTCTGAAGGGCATGTCGGAGCCACACCAGAAAACAAACACTCACTGGGCTCCGGCCAACACAACGGAGACCAACTGATCCTGCTGCAGCAGAACACTGCAAGATGATCATGACTGATGAACTACAGGGCTACAGTCACAAAATTGAAATATTTGTGTAGGGGTAAAATAATATTAATCATATGGTGTAGTATTAAAGTAATATACACTCACCGGCCACTTTATTAGGTACACCTGTCCAACTGCAAGTTACTGCAAATTTCTAATCAGCCAATCCCATAGCAGCAACTCATTGCATTTAAGCATGTAGACATGGTCAAAAGGATCTGCTGCAGTTCAAACTGAGCATCATAATGGAGAAGAAATGGGATTTAAGTGGCTTTGAACGTGGCATGTTTGTTGGTGCCAGACGGGCTGGTCTAAGTATTTCAAAAATTGCTAATCTACTAGGATTTTGATGCACAACCATCTCTATAGTTTACATAAAGGTCCGAAAATAGAAAAATACCCAGTGAGCGGCAATTCTTAGGGATATTATGGTATATTTTCTTGGCACAATTTGGGACCATTAGTACCAATTGAGCATCGTGTCATTGGCACAGCCTTCTTGAGTATTGTTGCTGACCATGTTCATCCCTTTATGACCACAGTGGCTTCTGATGGCTACCTCCAGCAGGATAACATGCCATGTCATAAAGCGTGAATCCCTTCAGACTGGTTTCTTGGACATGACAATGAGTTCACTGTACTCAAATTGCCTCCAGAGTCACCAGAACTCAATTCAAGAGAGCAACTTTGGGATGTGGTGGAATGGGAGATTCGCATCATGGATGTGAAGCCGACAAATCTGCAGCTACTGCGTGATGCTATTATGTCAAAATGGACCAAAATCTCTGAGGAATATTTCCAGTACCTTGTTGAATCAATGCCTCGAAGGATTAAGGCAGTTTTGAAACCAAAATTGGGTCCAATCCAGTACTATTAAGGTGTACCTAATAAAGTGTCCGGTGAGTGTACATTTTCTTAACAAACATATTATTTTGATTTCTATTGTATGTACTAGTAGTATTGCGTTATAATTGATATTACATTAAATATCACATTTAATATACTACTGATAATAATACTAATAATTTTACCTTTTCAAAATATAATTACTCTTAAATGTAAAACATTTACATTTTCTCTACCGCAAATAGGTTACTTCATTTATAAATTATTTTTAATTGCAAATATTTATATAAACTATGCTTAAACACATGCAATACATTTACAAGCAGTACTAATAAATAAATCTAGTATGTATATAGTGCCTATAGAAAATCATCATACAGTGAAAATCAAAACCTTTACATATTCACATTACACTCAAGCTTTTAAAAGACCTTCAGGTTAATGTTGTTGCAAGGTTAGGAGACGATTATAGAAACATTTCAAAGACTGAAAAAGTTATTTGGAATGTGATTTGATTTCAAGCTGAATAACAAATAAGTATTTCAAGAGATGATTTTCTACACTGTATATATACAGTTTAAGTCAAAACTATTAGTATTTTAAAATTTCTCAAATTATGTTGAACGGAGCAAGGAATTTTTCCACAGTATTTCCTATAATATTTTTTCTTCTGGAGAAAGTCTTATTTGTTTGTTTTTTTTCTGCTTGAATACAAGCATTTTTTATAACCATTTTAAGGTCGATATTATTAGCCGTCTTACACTACTGTATATTCTACAGAATAAAGCACTGTTATACAATGATTTGCCTAATTACCCTAGTTAACCTAATTAACCAAGTTTAACCTTTCAATTGCACTTTAAGCTGAATACTAGCATTTTGACAAATATCTAGTAAAACATATGACAAAGATAAAAGAAATCAGTCATTAGAAATTGGTTATTAAAACTAATATGTTTAGAAATGTGTGGAAAAATTATTCATTAGTGTTTGTAATTGGATCCAAGCAATGGTGTCAATTTCACAATTCTCAGAACAACTTTCATTCTTTTCATATAATCATTTGAACTGATTCACATGAACTCTAAACTTATTTTTATTAATCCACTCATACTTAACACAAACATACTGATGCACAGATTTAAACTATTACGCTGGTTTCAAAAATGTCTTATAGCGTTTTCCCCATGTTTTACATTATCCTTTTACTCATGTGACTAATTTACAGAACAGTCTTGTGGACAAAAAAAACAAATATAATGAGTTCAGCCATCTCTAGGTACCACAAGTCATTAAAGCCTTCAAAGCCGTGTTCCCATGTGACTCTTCCCACAATGCTTTGTGTCACAGACTGGGCTCTAGTCCTCAGGGTTTGTGCTGTCCTCCTGTGGGATTAAAGTGGGCAGATAACCCACCTTTCACAACAACCGTTCAGGTGGCACTCAATTACACGGGGCCACTCAGCCCGGGGGAGGTCGAGAGGAACCGGCCTGCAAGCGGTAGATAACTAGCTCCTCTGAGGCACAACAAACACACACAAACTTTCAGGATCCACTGTGGCATTTTGTGAAGCTGCTACTGGGCACCTGCAGCTCCCAGGAGCAAAACCTGTCTCTCTTGGCACAAATAACTTCTCAACTTTCAAACTGAGCCAGACAAAACCCATTTCTTGTCTGAAGCAGGCTGTATGTAGAGAGCCATTAATTAGCGTGCTACGTTAGCATAGCTTTCTGTCAAAACACAAGTGTGGCAAAGCAATTAGCATGTTAGCAGCGATGCAGAACCAACATTAGACGGGGAAAAACTTACAAAGTTGAGGGGGTCAAATACGGTTGGTATATTTTAGTTCAGAGTTATGAGTTGTTATAGCATAAGTGAATTTAAACAAGATAAAACTGTCAGTGATTCTGCAGTGAGAAAAACAGATTCATTTTTAAGTGAAATTCGCTTCAGGTAGGCAATAAAACTTTTTTCTGCTTAGTTTAGCCCAGGGGATGCTTTTATTTCTTTATAAATCTCTGATGAACCCATCAGAGCGCATTTCTCTCCATAAACTTCAGTTCAGTTAATACCGTTAAGTCTTCAAGTTTCAATATGGTGAGTCACCGCTCATTTTTATCATCCCGTTTAATGCAGAAATACCGAAACTGCTGAGGGATTCATATATATTAGGTGTCAGTATAGAGGAAGGCAAGCTCCACTGACACTCTGTCCTTTTTTTTTAATATTAAAAGTTCTGTACACTATTGTACAAAAGTTTGGTTTCTGTGATGTTGTTTTTTTTGTTTTTTTTTGTGCAAAATGGCTGTATTTATTCAACTAATAATACAATAAACAGCAATGCAGGGAAATATAAAATAATTTCAAATTAACTGTTTTCTATGTCAATATAACTTAAAATGTACTCTGTGAATCTGTGGTGTAGAAGTGGTGTTCTGCATCATTCCTGCACTCATTCTGATTCTAATACGATTATTTGTTGCTCTGTTATGAGAAATCATTATTGATGATTGGTTATTCACTAATCCTTTTGGTCACATTTTTAGGTACAATTGTGACATTTTAGGGTACAATGTGATGGAAATTTGCTATTAATAAACATTTTACCTAAGTCACCTAAGTTTACCATTTTACTCCCAAGTCACTGCTTATTCATAGTTAATAAGGTAGTAGTTATAAGTTTAGGTATTAGACACTAACCACCAGTCACTTTATTAGGTGTGCCTTACTAGTACAAGGTTGGACCCCTTCTTGCCTTCAGAACTGCCTTAATCCTTCGTGGCATAGATTCAACAAGGTAATGGAAAATTCCTCAGAGATTTTAATCCATATTGACATGATGGCATCATGTATACAAGGCAGGATGGATTAATGCTTTCATGTTGTTGATGCCAAATTCTGACCCTTGACTCATTAGACCAGGCAACATTTTTCCAATCTTCTATTGTCCAATTTTGGTGAGCCTGTGCAAATTGTAGCCTCAGTTTTCTGTTCTTAGCTGACAGGAGTGGCACCCGGTGTGGTCTTCTGCTGCTGTAGCTCATCCGCCTCAAGGTTCAATGTGTTGTGTGTTCAGAGATGCTCTTCTGCATACCTTGGTTGTAACGAGTGGTTATTTGAATTACTGTTGCCTTTCTATCAGCTCGGGCCAGTCTGGCCATTCTCCCCTGACCTCTGGCATCAACAAGGCATTTGCGCACACAGAGCTGCCGCTCACTGGATATTTTCTCTTTTTCGAACCATTCTCTGTAAACCCAAGAGATGGTTGTGCATGAAAATCCCAGTAGATCCCACTAACAACCATGTCACGTTCAAAGTCACGTAAATCACCTTTCTCCCCCATTCTAATGCTCGATTTGAACTGCCGCAGATTGTCTTGACCATGTCTACATGCCTAAATGCATTAGGCTGCTGCCATGTGATTAGCTGATTAGAAATTTGCATTAACTAGAAGTTGGACAGCTGTACCTAATAAAGTGGACAGTGAGTGTAGAAAAAGATCATGCAGAATACATACTTTGTAAGTACTAATAACCAGGCAAGGCACTAGTTAGAAGTGGGAATTGGTACCTAATCCAAAGTGTTACCATCATTGCTTTAATAAACTGTGTATGAGGCCATTTACAGCTCATACACCTGGATAGCATGAAATATCTAAAACAGAGTGGCATACGACACATTTGATGAGACTAGCATGAGACTAACAATAGGTCAGTAATAATACAGATTTAAATTCCACCAACTTTCAGTTTACAAAGCAAGTCAGATGTTGATTCACCAAATGAATAGTTCATCATCAGAGTTGTTTGACTGTGAATCA